AATTAAATTTTAACTAGTAAAAATACAAACTATTTTAAAATACCAAAATACAAACAAATTTTTACTTGTGAAAATGTTATATTTAATTATTGCTAGTAATAATTGAAATTTCACATGTAAAAATTTTATTTTTACTTGTAGAAAATACAATTTTACTAGTTCTATTTGAATTATTGCAGATATTTTTTTACCAGTAAAAATTCAATTCTTAATATCAAAAATTGAATTTTCACTAGTAAAAAAAATCATTTTTTACCAATTACCAATTTCTTTAAGCTTCAGTTATTTTGAATGAAAATGAAATAAAAATGGATTGAAACAAAGATTTAAATGAAACATTTTTATGAAAAGTTTTTCAACTTATGCTCTCTTTTAGATTTTTTACTGCATTGACAACTAAATGTTCAACCTTGTTATCCTGGTTTCAACCCTGTTACCCAGTTTTATTTCTGTTCTTCAGTCATTTATTGTGAAATAGCAAAATTTCTGATTATGACTCAAACTCCCCAGAGTACTAACTGGGGACATCTGTGAACTTGGTCATATGACTAGTAAGTTTCCATTATAAGCCTGGACTTTAGTTAGGTTCATTACAAAGTATTGTACCGTTACGACCTACTGAGCGTTTGTTGTTGACTGCCTGTATTCCGTTTTGCTGACCTCCATTTTGTTCTTCTCGACTTTGTCTTTTTGCCTGATCCTTTTGTACTGTTGCCTGATTTTGACTGACCCGTGTTTTGAATCTTACTGCCTGTTTTTGACCCTGACTTCAGCTCTGCCCTTGTAGTAATGCTGCCCCAGACTACAATCAAGAGTTCACTGGCCATTAAAATGCTTGTGAACGACCAGGTTAGTGCCTTTACGATCAGAGATGGCTGACAAAGTTCAGACAACAGGAATGTTTGGGCAGCAGTGTTAGAAAGTGTCTTGTCACTACATGCCACCAATAGGAGACCAGAATGTGGTCATTTGCTTGGACTGCAGGCCTATCATGAGAAAATCTTGTGTGTGAACTAGCATGCAGCACCATTGAAAACAAACAATATTGTAAAGTCAGCTGAAGAATTTATTGGCCTCGTTGTGTGACGTGCAGTAAAGCCGCTGTTATCCCCCCCCCAGTTTGCAGCAGGCCCAAGTTTTACCTCTGATGACCAGGTTATCTTTATGATGAATGAAGCCCAATTCATCATGCATTCATTCTTCTGAAATAATCTCATAACTACAGTGCATAAACATACAAAACAGTTTATGCGGACACTTGTCCTTTGTTTATTCACAGTGCGTCTTATTGCTTTTGTTTTATTACATAGTTATTTGTTTAGTTTCTGTATCTATTCCTACTAAAGCGATTCCGTGTTTCACCTGTTCTCTTTGTTACCTCGGTTCATCATCTGCAATCATCCTTCAGGCAGGCAAAGGTCTCTGACTAGGGTGAACGTCATAAAACCAGATAAACCACACAAAGGCCTACACAAAAAACAAAATTAGGCCTTGAGACATAATTTGGAATTCTTGTTTTATGGACGTCTCTTGGAATAAGGCTCGGTCTCTTCCTTAGGAGTTTTGCATTTATAATAACATTTATAAAATATCCAAGAAGCACATCTAAAAAATCTTGCAGAGCATTTATCAGTGCAATTATAATCTTTCCAAATGTACAGACCAGAATTGTTCATTTTGCGCAAAAGATTTAGAAAAAATGGACCACACATTTTTTGCATGTTACTATTCTAAAGAATTTTGGAAAGATTTATCTAAATACACATACAGTGTAGATAGAAAAAGTAAAGATGTGTAATTATAAGCCCCGATTTAGAGTTTTCTAAGTTGAATTTAATTTATTTACTAAGTCTCTTAATCTTCTTAGCAATAAAAAGGCTATTGCTTAAATCCCTCGTATCTACTAGTAGGTGTACGAGATTTAAGTTTACTCAAAGACTGATTTTTTTGGTTGGTTGTTGTTGTTCTTGTTGTTGACTACTTATATCTGTAGGTTATCTTTAATGTGGATGTCCTTGATTGCAATGTTAAACAAATATCGCTGCCCTGGGAACAAACCTTGTATCTCCAAAATAGTAACTTTACAGCAGAAGGAAAAAACATGCTTTACTTTTAATGTAAGTCAATGGAACCAGTGTTTTTTCCAAGTAATTTTGGGCCGTTTTTTTTAGTCCATTCATCATGAAATTTACGCACAATGTAGGGAGCAACTGACATTTTCAAATTATGTCAAAAACTGAAAAACAACAAAAATGGAGATATGAGGTTTTCTCCCAACAGCAGCGCTATGTTTTTTTAACATTACTGCAAATTTCTCAAATATACTGACAGCTGGAATGGAGGATCTGATCTTTTTCAGGCTTTAATTCTCAGGTTTTCAGTGGCAGCATTTAAGAAGAGAAATATGTCAAAAAACAAAAACCAGCAAAAAGGTTTTGTTCCGACAGCAGTGATATATTCATTTTAAAAACAGTGTCGTCCTTTCATAAGCTTGGCTGCCGTATCTCACCTTCGCAAAATCTACAAGCTTTTTTGAAATTCAGATGTTTTTCATTATCAGTGAATATAAATTCATGCTTTCTTTTGCTTGTGCTGATAAAACAAATCACACTCAAACACTGGAATACATTAGATTCCAATACTACAGTAGGACCTACACACCAGTCATATCATTAAAACCATCTCTGTAAAATCTCCACCGTAGACAGTTGACATTACGCGCATGTTTACTAAGAGAGGTGCTTTATGGCCCTGATTTCTGATAGGGCCGATAACCAAGCTGCAACTTAAATGTTACTCAAGTGTCCTAATTTAAGCTAACGTTACACAGTGTGAATATACACCATGGCTAGCTTGATACTAACATAACATTGCAAATGGCCTAGAAAAAATAGCATTATTTCAGTGGGGGTAATCAGATAAACAAGGCTAACAAAGTTTCATTAAAACATGAACACCGGAACATCTGCCAGTAGCGCTGTATAATTATGTAGCAGTATTTATGTAACATCGCTGTGACAAACCAGACACTTCATGGAGAAGAAATAGAGAAAAAACTTTCATAGCGAAAGGACAGTCCAAAGGCAAAGTACCAAAGTCGGGCCAGGTTAGAACCGAGAGTAGAATAAGTGGAAACATGGACGAGGAAAAGGCGTAGTTTTTTGAAACAGGTCAGACGTGATAAAGGTAAATACAAAAGAACGTTCATTATGCTTATGAAAAAAGACGGCAAACAAAGGATAATTTATACAAACACTGACAAGCAAATACAGGTGAAAACAATTAAAACTCAGGTGAGGTGCTTCTTGGGAACTGACCGGGATTGGGAGTGCATGTGATGATGATGTGGTGGTCAAGGGGATTGTGGCAAGTGGAGTCCAGCGAGTCAATAGGGATGGGTGGAAGTGTGATAATTTAATGACCTTTAAAGTGCCTTAAGAGCATACGTCTTATAAAGAAGACACACATTAAGTAAATAAAATATATTAACTCAAATACCTTTATTATAAGTTATATAAACTAATATAACCAATTAATTTATGATTTTATTATAAAGTAGAGATCGTTTTGTGAGGATGTTTTCCTTCCCACAAGCAAAAGAAGGCCTACACTTAAAGGACTTGTTTAGTAATAGCTAGTATAGTCACAATCACTCAAAAATAATGTTAATATATTAATCAGTGACATGATTTGAAAATGCCTGTTGTTCTTTACATTGTGTGTGAATTTGATGATGAATGGACCAAAAGAAACGACCCAAAATAACTTGGAAAAAACTCTGGTTCCATTGGCTTACATTAAAAGTACAGTATGTTTTTTCCTTCTCCTGTAAAGTTACCATTTTGGAGATACAAGGTTTTGTTCTGATAGCAGCGTATAATGTAACATTTCTCAGTATATTGTTTCCACCCTTTACCTTTAATACAGCTTTTTCTCTTTTCAGGAGACTCATCTGCAGCCACACCTCCAAAGTGCAGTCTTAGAAGTTGGTCGCATTTTCTGCTTCCAAAAAATCCCAAACACATTCAAGGATGCTGAGGTCCAAACTCCACCAGCAGCTTCCTTGTTTGATTTGCAGCTTCTTTTTATTTACCTTTGTCTATTGCCTTTTCTCAGTAAGTGCTTCTTGACAGCAACACATCCTTTTATCCTTTCAGACTCTTAGCGTTGAGTTGAAGTTATAAGAGTGTGTAATGAAGCTTTAGGCCCACCGGTCGGCCCATCAATAAATGAAGGCTGGTGAAGGTTCCTGATTATTATTAAACATTCTTAAACATGCTGCAGTTCACATTTCACCCTTGGCTAATCTACACACCCAGGAAAGATTAGACTATGACCTTTGCACTGCGCCTGATCCACTTTCTTCCAGTATAGTGAGGTTTTAGATCATCTGTAGATCTAGGGTTAATATTGTTTTGCCACTCATTTGATTAATACACCAGTCCATCCCATGAACCCGTCCAAATAAGCCAAATGATAAGCAGTAATGATTTCAGACGCTGACAGGTTTTAAGGTTTAAATTATTGGAAATGAATGAATCCTACTTTGCAGTAGATGCAAGAAATGGGAATGGGAAAATGGCCACTGGGAATTTTCCAATGGGAAAATGGCCATTGGCCATTCTTTTAGATCAAGATTATACTTAGACTCAGTGACGGGAACAACTATAATTACTGGACAAAGCAAACCAAATGAAGTGTTAAATCAGATCCCAGTCCAAAGCTTTGAAACCTGTCAGACCGGATGACAACAAACGGGGATGCTTTCAGAAAAGGCATCGCATTCATTCCTAACAAAGTACTACTTTATTATTTAATGACGTCTCCGACAAGAATGACGGAATAGAATTATGACCTTGTAATAATGCGTTTAAATATTCGCCCCTTAACACCACACCTGAGGATTGGAGCGTAAACTAATAACTCCATGTATTATTAAAGCTCCGGATTATTTGCAAACCACGGCGGCATTTGAATGAGAACAACAGAAGTCGGCTCACCTTATAGTGCAGGAACTGCTGGAGGGCTTCTTTTAGCGAACGCGTGGAGCAGAAGACAATGCAGTCTGCGTCTGGACCGTGAGCGTCTCTCTGAGATGAGCTGTGTGAAGCATTTCATCTGGAGTCACACAATTACAGCTTCCTCCTCCCTCACCTGCTTTCAGGTGTTCCATAAGAAGGAGGGGAGCCTGGGGGGGAGGAGGAGGCGGGGCGACCTAGGTTGCCTACAGCAGTGAAGAATTTACCATTATGCATTGAGCACATGGAGGCGACTGCGGCTTTCCCTGGCGCACACAGGCAGGATTATTTGTACAAGCGGTGACTCAAATAGTAGTAAAATGTGTGACACGGTTAAATATTAATTCATTATTATCAGTGCGTGTTCAGAGGCCAAAGAACACCAGCTGGAGATAACCTGGGCCTGTGCGACCCCACTGTTTCCAATACTTAGTAGGAAACTGAAGAAATGAAGAAATGATGGGTTGAGAATGATGAACAGATGATTCTAAAGTATCCGAAAGCTGAACAACATCAGGAATGAAGATAGAATAAAACAAAAAACCCAGTACGGCTCATATTTTAAAAGTGGTGCTCAAATCTCAAAAATGACTGTGAATAGATAATAATGGTATATTATTAACTTCTTGCTCTTATAATATATAACAAATTGCAAAAAAACGTCTAGAAGTATATTTGGTGTCTATTTTAAAACACATAAAAGGGTTTTCCCCTCCCAGTGGGGGTGGAGGGTGGGGGGGGGAATGGAAGCTTTTTTCTGTATTCATTGTGGCCAATTTTCTTTGTCAAAAGACCCTAATTGTAGGGTAACTTTCAGACCCTGATCACTTTACAGTGGTGGTGATAAGAACCAGGGGTCACCATGTCTACAACACTAATACAGCATATATACATTTTATGTACAATCCATCCATTATACACTGGTCAGGCATAACATTATGACCACCTCCTTGTTTCTGTGCTCATTGTCCATTTTATCAGCTCCACTTACTATATAGGTGCACTTTGTAGTTCTGCAGTTACAGATTGTAGTCCATCTGTTTTTCTGATACTTTGTTAGCCCCCTTTTACCCTGTTCTTCAGTGGTCAGGACCCGCATGGACCACCACAGAGCAGGTACTGTTTGGGTGGTGGATCATTCTCAGCACTACAGTAAGTTGGGTGTGTAAACTTTTGCCCCCAAGCCCCTTGATTCCAAAGAGAAAAATTTGTTATTTAATGATAATTGTATGTTGGTAGAGGCCCGTTAGCAACACCCTATTAGCCATGTGAGGTGCATTAGCAACCACCTGGGATACCGTAGCAGCCACCACAAATATCATAGTAGCATGGTGCTGGCGCCTATTGCAGCATTCATTGTGCAGAAGGCAGGAAACACCCTGGACAGGCTGCCAGTCCATCACAGGATAGACACTCCACACAGAAAGGGCCCTGGTTACCCGGCCGGGGAATCGGACCCCCAGTCGAACCTTCTTTGCTGTGAAGCAACAGCGCTACCCACTGCAATTGGATATAATTAACAGAAAGCAGCAAAAATCGCTGAGATTGCTGGGAAGCATTTTAGGAAAAAGACTCTTCAGACTGTAGGACTTAACTAGAATTACCAGAGTAGCTAATGATTATACAAGAAATAGGATGTGGTACTAGATCATTTCAGCATATTAACCAATAAAACCCATACATTAGTGCTGTCTTTTACTGTGTACTGTATGCCTAGTAAACATTGACCTAAAGATCAGGTTGCTAAACTAAACATAGTACCGTGGAAAGAACATTTGCACAGTGTCATCCTTTTTCAGCATTTACAGTTCTGCTTGAGGAAGTTGACCCTGTGAGAACCTAGAGTCAGTTTTCGACAGCATCGGTTACTCCTGACAATTCAGAGAGTCGGAGAGGTATGGTCTCTCGTCATAGTTGCAGTCATTAACTTGGCCATGGCATCTTGAACGAGCTGCAGACGAGATGAAGTAGATCACGCAACGTACCACTAGGAAAGATCTTAACCATTGAATTATGCAGACATTTGCGGAAAAAAATTGGCGGAATTCTCTTTAAAATCTAAAAAGTAAGTAATTTCAGACTTTTTAACGACAGTGTAAAACTCAGTCAGGTGAACACAGGATTTACCCACTCATTTAATAATGTATCATCTCTAATGGTACCACTTTAGAATAAGACTACCCTTATTAAGCATTTATAAATGGTTTAAAATTTAGTTTATCAATGGTTATTAATTCGGCCATAAACGCCTTATAAAGCATTAATAAGCAGTTATAACACACAAATAAAAACGGCAACAGTGATCTGTTACTTGCCTAATAGTGAAACCGCATTCAGTTATATACATACCTAAAAATTAAGGTTCTTCAAAGCTCCTTTAGTAAAGAAAATGGTTCTATATAGAACCATGAACACTCAAAGTACCCCTTGCATGATTGAAGGGTTCTTTCCATCGTGAAAGGGTTTTTCAGATTAATGGAGAAAGTGCTATAGATGGATCTACATAGAACCTTTTTGAAAAGGGTTCTATATAGCACCAAAAAGGGTTCTCCTATTGTTACAATGTCAGGCTTGTTACAATAGGAGAACGCTTTTGAGGGCTATATAGAACCCTTTTCAAAAAGGGTTCTACTCTCCATTAATCTGAAGAACCATTTCACGATGCAAAGAACCCTTTAATCGTGCAAAAGGTTCTTTGAGTGTTCATGGTTTTACATAGAACCATTTTCTTTACTAAAGAACCCTTAAAGAACCTTCATTTTAGGTGTGTAGTTAAACCGCAATTCTCGCTGGTTGCTTATCTCACCTTGTCTTCTTCATTAGTCAGCATTAAAACTGTCGGCTTCATCAGATGTAACAACTCACATTCCTCCATTTAATAATGCGTCATAACTGTTTAATAATGATTTTTAAGGGGTTTATGACCTAGTGAATAACCAATAATAAACTTGTTTTAAACCTTTTATAAACAGCTTATAAGGGTAGACTTATTCTAAAGGGGTACCTCTCTAATGGTTGGGTTATTGTAGAAGTGTGTAAGGGACCAGGTTCGTATTAATACTTTCACTTTTGCGTACTTTTGTAAGTACACAACAGAACTGAGAGAGCAAAGCACGTTCCTGAAAGAGAGCGTGTTGTTGTTGTTAGTGTCACAACCCCCTCTGTGCCCTGAGGTCGCAGCTCGGCGGGGTCTTAGGGGACTTGCTCCAGCGCAGCACTGTCTGATTTCACTAATGAGCGTCTCTTCGTTGTTAAGGAGAGCTTGTTGGTGAAATGGAGAGGTGGATGATGCTTAGAAAGGGTATTCTGAGCTAAGCCAGGTGTCCTTACCTTAGAGCAAACACACACATAGACATCAGTATCAACAGCGTGTTAATGTGCTAATTCTGCTGGGAATGAGGGCAACACAGGGAAGATGGGGAGAGAGTAGAGTGTCAGTGTGTGTGTGTGTGTGTGTGTGTGTGTGTGTGTGTGTGTGTGTGTGTGATCCATGTACTCATACTGTTTTGGATATGTGTGTGTCGATATGTGTGTGTGTGTTTGGGCCTGTAGGTTATGGAGTCATTTGACTGTGTGTGCGTGATTAATGTAGTTGGCAGTTAAGATCTCTGTTTGTTTACACTGTGTACGACTGGGGCCGTATTACAGAAAATTCTTAAGTCTGAGATCATATCTTATCTGCTTTGTCGCCATGGCAACTTCAGTTAAGACTGAAGTTAGGACAGAAGCCATTACAGAAGCAGTTCTTAAGTTTGTAATCTTATCTTATATCCAGATAAGAAAACAGAAACAGAAAGCTGTTTTACAGAAACATCCTAAGCTGCTAAAATATCCCAAATACTCTCCTAACTTTAAGATAAACCCCAGAGCGTCTTAACTTCTGTTTTAACCGTCTGTTTCTATGGTTTTATGCAGTGAAGGGCAGCACAGTTGTATAACTAGTATAATGATGCTACATTTATCTACACTGAAAACGGTGCTTTGACTTGTGAGGGTTTTTAAATATCGTTTTTAAGAGCTCAGACGCTGCAGACTCGATCTCCACCGTCCCTCTTAGTACCTTTGTAAGGTAATGTTTGATAAAAACTCTTCAGATACAATGTTGCAGTGATGGTGGTGAATAATGAGGAAGCAGAGCTGAACAAGTGTCTGTTTATTAGGAGGAATAACGTTAGCGCTCGGCTAAAGCGCTTGGGAAATGAAACTGAAACTGTGGAGCGGCGACTCTGATAAACAGCACAAAGCTCTGACACAATATTCTTAACTTTCCAGGTTCCTACATTTTCTGTCTTTAAGTACTGTAAAACTGTTTTGTCCTTAAATTTTCTGAAAGGAATTCGTAAAGTTCAGTCTTAGAAGTCGGTTGCACTTTCTGCTTTTCGCGATCCAAGTAATCCACACAGAACACCAGCAGCTTCTTCTTCATATATCTTTATGTCTGTTTCCTTTTCTCAGTCTTGACAGCTACACATCCTTTCAGACCCACAGCGCTGAGTCGTCTTCTCACAGTGGAAGGATGGACAGAAACACCTGTGGATGTTTTCAGATCTGAAGCAGCTTGATTTCTCCTCTCTCTCAAAGATGGAAGTGCTGTTTATCTGATGGGGACAGGTGTCTACCAGGTCTTTCTTCTGTATCTTTTAACCTTGTCTAACCCTTAAACTTGTAGTCATTTTGTTCGGAAATGAAATAAATGAAAGGTGGTCTTTTACAGCCTCTTATGACCATTTTCCATTTTGGAGATTAGCCACTTCAGCAGGCATAATAAGAGAAGAGAAGCAAGCAGTTGCTGCTATTTTGAATTTTTGCTTCATTGCCTAATTGCATGTTGTTGCTGTTGTACAAAAATTGTATCACAATTTGTCTTTTTTTTCCTTTTTATTATTTTAAATATTATTATCATTAGCAATTGCAATCTGAAATCGGGGGGGTACTGCAGCCCCCTCTGCACCCCCACTCCATGCATCCCATTTATAGTGTATACCATTGTATACTCACCAGCTTATAGGGTAAGAGTTGGCGAAGGCTTATTATTCAGTAACTACAGAGACTTCAATGCAAACTAGCAGAGCTATTCTTAGGTTATAGAAGTGTTTAATAACACTTTGGGACCACCGGTGGTCACTGACCATTTGAGGGGTTCTCTAAACATCCAGCAGTTAGGCTCTGTTCTTCACTTTTTGAAGCACTCTTGGTCTAAAGTGAAATGATAAAGCTCAAACATCAGAG